TTTCTCTTCGAATCGATACAAAAGTGCACATTGGACGATCAAAAAAAATCGCACTTGAGAAGTTTAAAGAACGTTTCTAATGTTCACTGAAATTTGTATGAATCATCAAGAACTTGGCGAGTTGAACAAGTGTTTATTGTGGTTTGTTGAAGTACGCTATAAGTTTACATGACTTCGGAAACTCATCTAAAAAATGGAGACTTGTTTAAAAATCGATCCATTCATCTCCGGAAAGGTTTGGACTTGGGGAAAAATCGCTTTGGTGATATTTCCAACGCAAATGTCCTTATCCTTTCAATGCAGTCATGAACGTTTTAAAAGAGAGAAAGATCATGGTGACAAGATGTTTTTTTGTTATTTTTACTACGATTTATTAGTGCTCTAATATATGACTCATGATTTCTACAGTTGACGATGGGATACTCATCTTATTGAGACATCAGAAAACGATTTTTTTAAACCATTGTGAGATCAAATATCTGCTTTACAGATAGTCCATGTCAAAGTACAGTAGGACATTATCATTTAGAATATTTACTGTTTATTCAAACCTGAAGAAATCATTTGAACTTGTGATGTCCCACACATTCGAATTTTTGAATTCTGAATGACTTGACCCTGCATTAGTCGAGACTCAAAAATGCAGAACCCCAAATTATGAGCAGATCTGCTGAGGAGAATTCGATTACTTTATCTATTCTATATTTGTGAAGAAAGAAGGGATTTTCGTTAATGTTGTGTATGAAGAGCTCATCAAATGCAAATGGTATGACTTGCTCATTTCACTTTAGTGGAAACCCTGAGAGATTCACTACAAGTTTATTGAAATAGAAGCTAGGGAACTTTTGTAGTAAGTAGCGATAATTTCAGAAAGCTAGTGTAGATCGCATGATCTATATACCTTCCTAAACTATCTTCTAGCGCACCAAATCTAAGGCAAGAGTCTCCTTAACGTCATTATTCTTCTGCGGTCCAGTTTCCATAATCAAAGCCTTAAAATAGTCGCTTGGAACTGAACGTGCGTTCTTTTGGGAAAATGACATAGACGACAACAGAACGTCGAGCTCTTTCTCCTGCTTCCACAACAAACAGTCCTGCCTTACATGGATTACTAGTATAAACTTGTTTAACTACGCGATCAAGTCTTACCGTTAGTCTCAGAATGATTTAAAGTGAGATGACATTTTGCTTGCATATTCCTAAAATCAGCCGTACACTGATAGCCTTGGCCATGGAAATAAGCAACAGAAAAAAGTTAATTTATTTTTTACGCCACGACAAAGCAACTAGAGATGTGGTCCTAAAGAGGACCATTTAGATTGGATTTCGGCAGATTAGTCTTGATCCTCACTTTGTCTCAAAAGTCGTCTTCTTGGGAAGATCTGGGTATACGGCGAACCAGCACTTTGAGCACTTGTGACATCAGCCTGTTCAACTCTTCATCGTTGCATACGATCAGCTGAAGTTGGCGAAGGTCAACGCGGGTCTTGAATTCGTATGCTACATTGCTGGCCCGATCGAGGACTAAAGCAGCTAGGTAGTCCAGTATAGCTGCCAAGTAGATTGCTCCATCTCCGATGTCATTAGCATGCTTCCCTTTGTGAAGCAAGCGCTTTGCACATTCCAGTGGGAAATGATCTCCGCTCGTGC